GGGGGGGGCGTTACAATCATCCTTTTTCCTAATAATGAGTATTCTTCGGTGAGTGGGTGATACGGTTCTTATAAGCTGTGGGGTGTGGTAACTTTTCCCCGAGAATCGCTTCGCGCTCGCCGCATCTGATCCGCGCGGTTGCGAGCCGCCGCCAAACTATTGCCGTGGAAATTTGGAAGAAGATAACTATTGAACGTACACTTTTCCCTGTTGGTCGCAATATTTTTCAGTTTTGTCACTAAATATTGTGTTTTTTAGGAAGCTTACAAAAGAGGCATTCATCGTACTGTTCATGCTGGGGAGAGCGGTACAGCAAAGGAAGTTTACAAGGTGATTTTTGCTTTTTAGTCATGTAAGCAGGGCAACTAGTATGTGTAGCACGTATGCACTGCCCTCAATTGAGATTAGATTAAGGGTAAATGGTCAATTAGCTTCAAAAGAATCTAGCTGTCGTTAGCGGGCTATCGTCAACTATCATAATCCTGTATTTATAAAAATTTTTTCCTAAAACCTTTCCTCTTCAGGCAATACACGACATGCATGCTGATCGAATCGGTCACGGTTATCGTGTAATGCGAGATCCTGATATGTATAGGAAGTGAGTTTCTTTGTATACAACAATTAGCCGCTGTCAGAACGACGTGGCTCTGGCCCCTTAACTTCAATTACTGCACATTTAAGAACGGTCTAATAAAATGGTCAACCTTTAGATACTTCGTTTACGATCATCGAGTTCATCTGGAAGCATGCCCCTACAGTTCAGTTATGACTGGAGCAGTTCCGTTGGACTGGAAGAACCATCCTATTGCAACGTAAGCACCTTACATCCCCAGAACTACGAATTAAGCCTCAGAGTTCGTCAGAGTTGAGAAATACCTTCAATTCACTCTTCACTTCCGAATTCTCTTCGAGTGATGACATTTGAACGAATTCGCAGTTCTAGCCAGGAGTTCAGATTAATTATTGGTATATTGTATGTATATTTAGCTCGTGGACCATGACAGCCGATTACTTGGTTACGTAAAAGGTAGCGGGAATTCTAGTCACTAGCTAATCCCGAACATGCTCCCATATGGTTCAGAGCGTTACAGAATAAAAATGAAGGGAAAAGCTTTCCTAGCAGCATCAGCTTAGGTGAAAAGTGTTTCCAGAAGGGCGGAGCTTGAACCCAACATCTACGTCTTCCATGTTTGGTCCAGAACAGCTCAAAGACGAGCATAGTTCATTTGAAACATTTTCCACTAGGTTAAAATAGGTCGTCTGGTCCGGGTTCCTTTCATTCAACTGCTCTTTTTCAGATGGGCCAAAGACAAAGTGAATTTCTCGGTTTCTCGTGACGATCCAACATGCTTCGACAACACGATGCTAAGTGAATTGGAGCTTGTACGAAGTGAAATCGGTCTCACACCTCATCAACTCTGGCAATGCGTACGTTTTTCTCTTAGATACTCTTTCTCATGGTCACGGTATGGGCAAGGGCTTCTACGTCCAAAATGAGCTCACAGCTTGCCTAAAATATCTGGTTAAAAATCTCAAGGCCTCTTTATTTCAGGTTTTTCCATCTACCCTTTATAGCTTTCTCATTTTCTTATTTTTTGGGTTTTTTTTTTTGAGGTTCTCTTTTGAGTTCATGGATTTTCCCGTTCCAGCAGCTGAATGCGGCTCATTCGTGCTTTTTAACGGAAGAAGAGAAGCGACCGCTGGTGGAGAAGATTCTTGCCGCTGAACCACATAAATAAAATGGTTCTTCGCGTTTTGACTGTTTTTGTGGTTTAACATTTTTGAAAAATTGAAAAATCGATTTACTCCATGACATTTTATTGTTTTAGTCATATTCACTTGTATGTTTGTATGGGTGGCTACTTGCCAAAGCTG